TCATCCTTCCTGGGCTCCAGATCCGGAGACTCCAGCCCTGTTCTCTCAGAAGTGTCTATTTCTTCTACCGGATCTGTCGCCGATGTCAGCGCCAGGACAGCTGCATTTTCCGCAGCAGCGTCTGTAAAGAATGAGCGAGAACAGGCGAGTCCTCAATGTCTCTCTTATGTGTCATGTTGTAAAACAGTTTTCCAATTTAACTGAATATCTGACCCTGATGGTTTTTGCTTTGTTTTTTTCTCATGTTGATGCTCTGTAGAGTCTTAGTGATAAGGTGAAGGATGAAAGTCCAGAGGCAGATGTCAGTGGAGTTTCCAGTCCTACTTCACTACCTGCCATTTCCCTCCTGTCTCCCAAAGCCATGGAGATGGCTGGCTGTATCATCAAAGTTCAGGAGGAGCATCGAGAAAAGGCTAAGGTTCAAGTTTTTGACAGTGTTTTTTATTTTAATTTTTTTTACTGAAAAACAGCTTAACAGTAATCTTTTTTTTTTTTTTTACATTTAATTTTATTTGCAAACCAAACTTCAAATGTTTTTGTTTGTTTGTTTGTTTTTTAACTCTTATGATTTTTGTCAGTAGCAACTTGTTTTATTGTATTTATTTTAGTTTGTTTGCTTTCAGCTTTTGTTTTTAGAAACTAACATGTAATCTAAACATATGAATATGTTCAGGCTTTCCTGTTAAAGTTTATGGAAAAGCATGTAATGTTAGATGCTTACTAATTACTGGAAATGGGTCTAAACTTCTTCATACTAACCTCTGCTGGCTTGCTGATCAGAGTTATATATTTTGCATGTTGACCCCTGCGTACTATATACTTGGTAAGGGTCTCACCGGACTGTCTTCTATCTGTCGATTCAGTTGGCCCTCAGGGTGCGGCAGGAGATGCAGGAGAAGCTCGTAGCGGCGGTTGCGAGTGCCGAGTCAGAGCAGCTGAAACGCTTTGAGGAGCTCATGGAGCTGAAGCAGAGGCAGGAGTACCAGAGTATGAGGGACATGATGGAAAGAGAGTAAGGGAAATTATGATGCATTTGAAATGATTAAAATGCTTAAAAATGTCTGAAATGTTACATGTGATTAAACACCTGGTCTGGTTTTCCACTTCCTGTACTGCAGAACGAAGGAGAGCATCGGGCGTCAAGAGAAGCTGAAGGAGGAGCAGCGGCGTAGAATAACGGTACGTGGAAAGTTCAGGAAACGTGAAGCTTAAACGCATGTTTGTCAAGTTGTTTACTGAAGTCTTTAATTTTGCTTGTTAACCTTACAAAAATTGTGCATGTTTCAAAGTGTGGAACAGATTGTGAGATGCTGGATGTGCAGAGCTCTGCAGCAGGAGAAGTAGATGCTCTTTATTTTTGGTAGTCTGCTGTAGTAATGATCTCCTGCATATACTGGGGCATTTCTTGTGCTCAGTGGGGTAGAAAAGGTTATCTCGTTCCTGTGCTGTTCATGCTTTTTGTTTGTCCGTCAGCTCGTCAACCTACGGCTGAGGGAGGCAGAGCAGCAGCGTCTTCGGGAGGCAGAACTCGAGAGGCAAAGGCAGGCGGAGGGCAGGGAGAGTCTGCGTAGCCTCAACAGCATCCAGGAGGAGATCCTGCAGCTCAACCAGCTGCTTGAGCCCTCCACCCAGACCAAGACGGACCTCCCACCGGCCAGCCTCAGCTCCTACAGCACCCGAGGGAACCAGCTGTGCTCCCAGGTGTCGGAGGTGGTGCGAAAGACTGCAGAGGTCGGTTTCCATCGAGATTTTTAAGGTTTATGCTCCTCCTAATTTCTGCTTGTACTCATGAAATACGTGTGTTCTGCCTATTTCAGGGCAACTTCCCCAGCTTGGAGGACATGACTGTGGCAGAGCGAGCCCTGCACGAGATGAGAGCGCTTATTCGGCTCATGCAGGAGGAAGCGGCCAATGTTCGAGAGAAGAAGAAGAAGGAGCAAGAGCAGGAGGAGGAGCGCAGGAAACAGGCAGAGCTGCTGGCGAAGCAGGAGGGGGAGAAGAAGGCGGCACAGCTGGCCAAAGAGAAGGCACAGAGGAAAGGTGAGGAAGGAGA